CGTCCACAGCAAGGCTGGGGACATCGCAGGCCGAGAGACCCGGGGGTGAAGGTTGAGCTGATGCGCCGCGTACCTCACCGCAAACGGCCACAGAAAATGGGGGGCAGCCGCATGCATCATGGACGTACGAGCGACATCCATGACCATGCCAATGCGGCGCTCAGCAATCCCATTTTGCTGTGGTGAGTCCGGAAGCGTGAAGGTCTGGCGGATCCCCCGTGCACGACAGTAGTCTCGCAGAAGGCGAGAAGAGAACTCTCCGCCTCTGTCCGAGTGCAGACGCAGAACAGGAAAGCCCGAGCCGAAGCTCTTCCTGAGCTGGAGACGAGCCTCGCGGATCCAGTCGATCAGCACCTCAGTGACCGCACCCTTGCTGCGCAAGGGGAGGACTGTGGTGTAACGCGAGTAGTCGTCAACCACCAACAGGAAGTAGCGCTCGTGACCCTGCCCACGGACAGGGGCTGGGCCCCACACATCCATGTGAAGCGTCTGCAGGGGAGCCTCTGTCGGGGGGAAGTGGGAGGAGTGAGGAGTAGCCCGGAGGCGACCCTCGACACAGGGGACACAGGAAGGTCCTGGCCCGGAGGGGAGAGGAGGGAGAGACTGGGGAAGACCAGAGACAAGGACACGGGAAGCCATGCTCCGAAGACGGGGCAAGGAGGGGTGGCCAAGACGGTGGTGCCACAGGAGAGTCTCGTGAGACAGGAGGCGACAAGAACAGGGGGCAGACTCAGGACCTGACCGGGACGCAGCAGCAAGCACCTGACCAGATGCAGCCACCTGACCAGACGCAGGGACAGGAGGAGACTCAACGGTCAGGGTGTAGAGACTCGACCCCGGCCGACGCGAGAACGTGGCCAGGTGTCGGCCTGTGCGTGCCTCCGTGCAGTGGGTCACTCGCTGACTCGCAGGAGTGAACTGGTGAACCCCCACATCCTGCAGGTCCGCGCCACTCACCAAGTTCGTAGAGAACGAGGGAAGGTACAGACCAGACAGGGTGCCCGAAGGGGCAGCCGGACACGGGAGGACAGTGGAGAAGTGAGACAGGACAGGACCCCCAGAGGGGTCAGCAAGGGAGACTGCAACCGGCCGGCCGAGCGGCGTAAGGGTAGTGCGGTCTCGAAAGAAGGAGCGAGAAGCCCCGGAGTCAAGTGTGAAAGTGAGGGAGGACGAGGACGACGCAGTACCTGAGAGCGCAGTCTCACCAGTACCTGAGAGCGCAGACGCACTGGCACCTAGAGCAGCAGCCTCACAAGCACCTAGCGCAGCAGTACCAATGCCCGGGTCGGGCTGGAAACACCGGTAACCCTCATTCTCCTCACTATAAGTCACAGCATACATAGCAGCAAGGATAGCATCAAAATCAAGATCAAAGATCGCTACACCAGCCCTAAGAAGCTCATCCCAGCGAGGGATCTCACTAGCCCCAGGGAACTGCTGACGCCAAGCGTCCGTCAGGCGGCCAAAGCAGCGCTGGGTGGTGTGGGCACCCCCACACTGCTCACCCGCGCGGTCGCCGGAACGAAGAACGTAGGTGCAGGGACCAGTACCCCCACCCCTCTGACGCCCAGCGTACCACTCACGAAGCTGCTGAGGCGGAGGGATGTCCCGCGAGCGCTGCTGCTGCTGCCGCTGCGAGCGCTGGCCACCACCACCGCCGCTACGCTGCTGGGTACCACCCCGACCAGCTCCACCTCCTCCACCACCACCGCCTCCTCCGCTGCCGCCTCCACCGCCTCCACCTCCGCCGCCTCCACCTCCGCCGCTGCCTCCACCACCACCGCTGGCACCACCACCACCGTCTCCGCCGCTGCTGCCACCACCACCACCACCCCCGCCACTAGTCCCGCCGCCACCCCCACTCCCTCCGCCGCCACCGCCGCCACCGCCACCGCCCCCTCCAGCTCCACCCGCGCCCTTGCCCCCCTTGCCCTTGCTGGAGCGACGTCTCCCACTAGGGGCAGACGCCGCGCCGACCGACTCAAGACCAAGCAGGTCGGCAGCAGCAGCAGAGGCAACAGAGGGCAGCAAGGGGGAAGGAGAGCACCCCTCAAAGATGGGGGTGCGAGGGTCACCACGAGAAGCACCTACAGCGACTATGCTCTTCTCCGCTGCGAGGAGGGCCTTCTCGAGGAGGTCGACGGTGAGGGTGGTGGGACAGACTGCGAGAAAGTGGTCCCTGCCGACGTGAAGGGAGTCAGGGAGGCGCGCGACTACGTAGTAGAGAGCGATGTACATGGGGGGTGGGTTCTTAGCGCAGAACTCAGCAGGAAGGGCGGCGCGGTAGCGAGTGTCACTAGTGCGGAGGTGCGTAATGAGGTCAGCGACAGTGGGAAAGGCAGAGAGGTCAGGAAAGAGGTAGGGAAGCATGAGACGGCTCAGTGCAGCAGTGGCAGGGGAGGAGTAGCGCGCAACTACAGCGTCGTACAAGGTCTGAGCACTCTTGTACTGACTAAAGTGCGCACGCTCAGAGGTAGGGAGGTGGCGACGCACAGCAAGACGTGCAGCAGCATCGCTGGTGGCCCACTGAGAGCGGACAGTGGGATCAGCATCAGCAGCAGGAGCAGGAGAGGCGCCAGAGGTGAGGTCAAAGAGAGAAAGGCCGTCAGCCCTGTCGCACTGTAAGAACAGCTGCAGGTCGTCTAACCAGACCTCAAAATCAATGGCGCGACCCTCAGCGTCAAACGCTAGGACACTAGGGGTAGCCATGGCGACGACAGCGACGCAGTGCAAGCAGTAGGGAAAGAGCTCGCAGTGACAGTGGGACTGTGCTCACCAGGCAGGGCAGGTCGTGCAGCTCTGCAGAAAGGCGGCTCGGCGACCGGGCGGCTCGGGTGCACAGCGGCTCGGCTCCCGGGCGGCTCGGCGGCTGGGCGGCTCGGGCGCAGGGTGGCTCGGCTCCCGGGCGGCTCGGCGGCAGGGCGGCTCGGGTGCAGGGCGGCTCGGCTCCCGGGCGGCTCGGCGGCAGGGCGGCTCGGGTGCAGGGCGGCTCGGGTCCCGGGCGGCTCGGCGTTGGGCGGCTCGGCTCCCGGGCGGTTCGGCTGCACTGCTGCCCGACTGCTGCAGGTGTGGCGGCGGGGCCGCGTGAGAGAGCCGGGGCGGGGACGCGTGAGGGCCGGCGGCTGGGCCGCGTGAGAGCCGGGGCGGGGCCGCTTCAGAGCCGGCGGCGGGGCCGCAAGAGAGCCGGGTAGGGGCCGCGTGAGGGCCGGCGGCGGGGCCGCGTGAGAGCCGGGGCGGGGCCGCTTCAGAGCCGGCGGCGGGGCCGCAAAAGAGCCGGCGGCGGGGCCGCTTGAGAGCCGGGGCAGGGGCCGCGTCAGGGCCGGCGACGGGGCCGTAAGAGAGCCGGCGGCGGGGCCTGGAGAGGGCCGACGTCGGGGCCACGTGAGAGCCGGGGCGGGGCCGCAAGAGAGCCGGCGGCAGGGCCGCGTAAGAGCCGGGGCAGGGGCCGCGTAAGAGCCGGGACGGGGCCGCGAGAGAGCCGTCGGCGGGGCCGCGTGAAAGCCGGGGCGGGGCCGCGCGAGAGTAGGCGGCGGGGCCGCGTAAGAGCCTGGGCGGGGACGCGACAGAGCCGTCGGCGGGGCCGCGTGAAGGCCGGGGCGGGGCCGCGTAAAGGCCGGGGCGGGGCCGCGACAGAGTCGGCGGCGGGGCCGCGTGAGAGCCGGCGACGGGGCCGCGTAAGGGAGGGCGGCGGGGCCGCGTCAGTGGAGGCGGCTGAGCCGCAGGGGAAAAGGCGACCCGAGGGGCCGCTAAAAAAAAATCGCGCCTCGGGGCGCGCTTCGGTGGGCCCAAAAAACGGTCCTTAGAAGGACCCGCTCTGATACCATGTGAGAATAAGCGAACAGGAATGAAGAACTAGCAGTGAAATGAGTACAAGTAGGAAACCCTACAATTGTGTACCCCCTATAGGCTAACCCACTGTAGCCTACACAAGCATAACATATATAATGTTTGACAGTGGTCTCACTCAAATATAAGGTAGGAAATAAATTCATCTAGTGAACGTAAGGGTTTGAAAGGTAACTAACGCACATGTGTAGAGAAAATGGTGCATCGGCGAGTCTGGCCGGCATTTCGCACTTATAGTGCAGGTGGGGCCAGGGAGAACGGAAACGCCCATTTATCAAAAAGTAAAGGAAATCTAGCGGTCTCACTCAATCAGAAGGTGAAAAATATATAAATCTAGTGAGCTAATAAGGTTTGGAAGGAATCTAATGCATATGTATAGGGAAAGTGGTGCATTGGCCAGGTCGGTCAGTATGGGAACTTAGAGTGCAAATGCCTGGAAGAACGGAACCGCTGAGATCTCGCATAATACACGGAATCTAGTGGTCTCACTCAAATAGAAGGTAGGAAAATAATTCATCTAGTGAACGTAAGGGTTTGAATGGTAACTAACGCACATGTGTAGAGAAAATGGTGCATCGGCCAGTCTGGCCGGCATTTCGCACTTATAGTGCAAGTAGGGCCAAGGAGAACGGAAACGCTCATTTCTCAAAAAGTAAAGGGAATCTAGCGGTCTCACTCGATCAGAAGGTGGGAAATATATAAATCTAGTGAGCTAATAAGGTTCAGAAGGAATCTAAGGCATATGTATATGGAAGGTGGTGCATTGGCCAGGTCGGTCAGTATGGGAACTTAGAGTGCAAATGCCTGGGAGAACGTGTGAGAATAAGCGAACAGGAAGTGAATGAAGTAGCAGTGAAATGAGTACAAGTAGGAAACCCTAGAATTGTGTACCCCCTATAGGCTAACCCACTGTAGCCTACACAAGCATAACATATATAATGTTTGACACACCCCCATAGGCAAAGTGGGGGAGAACAAGGGGTCACAAGACCAGTCAAGCAAAGCAAAGCAAGCTCAGGGTGGATCACAAAGTCACCACACAGTCCGAGCACAAGAGCAGGGCCAGAGGCCAGTTCACATGCAGGAGTACAGACATATATATAAAACTAGACAAGCAAGAGCAGGTATATATATATGTCACAGTACAAGTAAAGTCAAGAGGAGAGCAAGTGAGGCAAGACAGACACAAGACCCAGCTGGGTGCAAAAGCGCTGATGATCACAAGGCGCGAGTGCCTTGGTGAACACATCAGCAGTGTTGGCCTCAGAGGCCACGTACGCAAGTCGCAACTGACCACGCTGCTGCAGCTCACGAGCAAGGAAGTAGCGGAGAGCAATGTGCTTCGTTCTGTGCTCCAAGCGCTGCTCTCGACACAAGGCCAGCATGGCCTTGTTGTCTACGTACAGCACTGGAGGAGAACGAGGCGGCTCTCCAAGGTCAGTCAGCAGGTAGGTGAGCCAGCGAAGCTCCTGTGCAGCCATGGCCCCGGCGTAGATCTCAGCCTCACAACTGGAGCCGAGAACCGAAGACGAGCGAGTAGACCGCCACGAGACAGAGCCGGAACCAAGGCTGAAGGTGTAACCCTGTGACGACCGCTACGTAGCCTGGTCGTCAGCCCAAGAAGCGTCCGCGTGGCCGGTAAGGACCACTGGACTCCGCCCTCCAAGCACAAGCCCCATGCCCGACGTACTGCACAGGTAGCGCAATACCCTCTTCGCTGCAGCCATGTGCTCTGGTCTGTGTCTCCCAGGAGCAACATAGCGTGCAAGAATACTCAGAGGGTATGCAAGGTCAGGTCGTGTGCAGGTCATCAGGTACATGAGGCAGCCAACAAGCTCTGCATACGGACCACTCGACTCTACGGACTCATCCGAAGGCAGAGCTGAGAGTGAGTGGCGAGTAGGCAGAGGAGTGGCCTGGGGCGAGGAGTACGTGAAGCCGAAGCGCTGAAGGACCTGCTGCACCATGTGTGACTGAGTCAAGGTAATGGTGCGGCGTGCTCTGTCCCGAGTGATCTGCAAGCCAAGGTAGCTGCGCAGTTCACCCAGGTCTGTGCACGTGTGTCTCTTCAGCAGTTCGGACTTCACGTAGGCGAGTCCAGCAGTGTCCGCTGTGGCAAAGACCAAGTCGTCGACGTACACGAGGATGTAGAACGGCGGCAGTGAAGTGTCGGTGCGCAGAAACAGCGACGGGTCAGCAGTAGAAGGAGCAAACCCAAGAGCCGCAAGCGTAGTCCTCAGTGTGTCGTGCCACTCACGCGGTGCCTGGCGGAGACCGTAGACTGGCCGTCGGAGGCTCCACTGGGTGCCAGGAGGGAAAGTCCCAGTGAAGCCAGGTGGACGGCGCAGCCAGATCTCCTCGTGCAGGCTACCCTGCAGGAACGCAGTGCTGAAGTCGAGAGAGTGAAGCTCGTAGTCGCGCTGAGCGGCTATGTGCAGCAGCACCCGAAGAGTGGTCATCTTCGGGGTGGGAGAGAAGGTCTGAAAGTAGTCAACTCCCTGCCGCTGACTGAAGCCACGAGCAACGTACCGCGCCTTGAAGACAGGTGGAGAGCCCGGCGGCCGCTTCACCCGCAAGATCCACATGCCACTGACGATGTTCGCCCCAGGAGGGGGAACTGCGTCAACGTAGGTGCCTGTGGACTTCCAGGAAGCCATCTCTGCATCCATAGCTGCCTGCCACTGAGAGGAGTAGGGACCCTCTACGGCCTCCGCGTAAGAACGCGGAGTCGGGATGTCTAGTGCATCCGGGTCTCCCTCAGGGGCAAGCAGTACAGACGCGAGATGAGGTGAAGCAGCCGCTAGACACTGTAACTCCTCCTGTCTGTCCTCTAGGACGTCCGTGCCAAGAGCACACTCACCCCCGACGGACGGAGGACAGACAGACGCAGACTCAGCAACAAGACCAGCAGCGTAGTCGAGACGACAGCGAGCAGCAAAGTCAACGAGCTCAGCGACTAGAGCAGACGCAGCAGTGGACTCAAAAGAGGGGTCAGTGACGACAGTAGCAAGCAGACGCGTGACAGTAGGACTGGCAGCGCGAAGAGAGTCCGACTCAGGGTCGGCAAGCGCAGGAAGAGAGGACTCAGGAGGAGAAGGCAAAGGGGCACGCAGAGGAGCAGTGGACGGACGCAGAGACATCCGGTGCGTGCCAGGGACAGGAGGAGGACGCTGACGCGAACCGCGACCACTAGCGCGAGCAGCACGAACAGGCGACGCGGGACGAGACGCAGGCTCACGACGCTCAGCAAGACCTCCAGTAGGACCAGTGTAAGGAGAGGGAGTAGGCAGAGGAGAGGAAGGCTCCAACAGTGACTGCGACTGGACAGGCTGTGGACACTCTACCGAAGGAGAAAGACCAAGAACCTGCTGTAGGAGCGGAACGAAGTACGGCCGAGGCCGCGCGGCAGCTCAAGACTCAGCAGGGACAGCACCAGCACCCTCAGCGACAGCACCAGCGCCACCAACACCTCCAGCGGCAGGACCTCCAGCAGCACCAGCAGCAGAACCATCGCCAGGACAGACAGCAGTAGTCTCAGCACCAACACCCTCAGCAGCTCCAGCTCCAGTAGGACCCGCAGGCCCAGCAGCTCCGGGACCGGCAGCACCAGCACCCTCGACGGTCGACGAAGCTCCAGCTCCAGCAGTACGCCTCCAGCGGCGAGCAAACCACTCACGCAGCTCCTGTGGAGAGAGGGGCTCCCGGCGAGACGCAGCAGCAGGAGAAACCCCAGGCTCAGCAGCTCCAGACTCAGCACCCCCAGGCACAGCCGCTCCAGACTCAGCACCTCCAGGCTCAGCAGCTCCAGACTCAGCACCCCCAGACTCAGTAGCTCCAGCTCCAGTAGGACCCGCAGGCCCAGCAGCTCCGGGACCGGCAGCACCCTCAGCAGGCGAAGAAGCTCCAGCTCCAGCAGCACGCCTCCAGCGGCGAGCAAACCACTCGCGCAGCTCCTGTGGAGAGAGCGGCTCCCGCCGAGACGGAAGAACCGGAGAGCCCCCAGGTCCAGCAGGCGCAGGCTCCGCACCTCCAGGCCCAGCACCCCCAGGCTCAGCAGCTCCTGACGTAGCACCCTCCGGCTCAGCACCCCCCGGCTCAGCACCCCCAGACTCAGCACCCCCCGGCCTCGCACCCCCAGGCTCAGCATCCCCAGGCTCAGCACCCACAGCAGCAGCACCCCCGGGCTCAGCACCCGCAGCAGGACCAGACTCAGCAGCAACCTCGACTGGCTCGACCGTGTCTACCTGGGACACACCCGAAGGGGCAGGAACCTGAGGGGGTAGGGGGTCTACCGGGGGGGGGGAACTGGTACCAGGAAGTCCGGTGGGGGGGGAAGGGAAGGAGTACGGTAGGGGAAGAGGCGGTAGAAGGGGACTGACTCGTCGAACGTGACGTCCTGGGAGGACAGAACACGACGAGAGGAGGGGTGGTAGAACTGCCACCCTGGAGCGTCAGGGGGGAAGCCAAGGAAGACACAGGGAGCAGCACGGGGGGACAGCTTGTCCGCAGACAAGTCGCGGACAAACGCCCGAGATCCCCAGACACGGAACGCAGACGCATCGCCGACCTTCCCCGTCCACAGTAACACTGGGGACATCGCGGGCCGAGAGACCCTGGGGTGAAGGTTGAGCTGATGCGCCGCGTACCGAACCGCAAACGGCCACAGAAAATGGGGGGCAGCCGCATGCATCATGGACGTACGAGCGACATCCATGACCATGCCAATGCGGCGCTCAGCAATCCCATTTTGCTGTGGAGAGTCCGGAAGCGTAAAGGTCTGGCGGATCCCCTGTGCACGACAGTAGTCTCGCAGAAGGCGAGAGGAGAACTCCCCACCTCGGTCAGAGTGCAGACGCAGAACAGGAAAGTCCGAGCCGAAGCTCCTCCTGAGCTGGAGACGAGCCTCGCGGATCCAGTCGATCAGCACCTCAGTGACAGCACCCTTGCTGCGCAAGGGGAAGACTGAGGTGTAACGCGAGTAGTCGTCAACCACCAACAGGAAGTAGCGCTCGTGACCCTGCCCACGGACGGGGGCCGGGCCCCACACGTCCATGTGAAGTGTCTGCAGAGGAGCCTCTGTCGGGGGAAACAGGGAGGAGTGAGGAGCAGCCCTGAGGCGCCCCTCGACACAGGGGACACAGGAAGGTCCTGGTACCGAAGGAAGGGGAGGGAGAGACTAGGGAAGACCAGAGACAAGGACACGGGAAGCCATGCCCCGAAGACGGGGCAAGGAGGGGTGGCCTAGACGGTGGTGCCACAGAAGAGTCTCGTGAGACAGGAGGCGACACGAACAGGGGGCAGACTCAGGACCAGACCTGGACGCAGCAGCAAACACCTGACCCGACGCTGCTACCTGACCGGACGCGGGGACAGGAGGAGACTCAGTGGTCAGGGTGTAGAGGCTCGACCCCGGCCGACGCGAGAACGTGGCCAGGTGCCGGCCTGTGCGTGCGTCCGTGCAGTGGGTCACCCGCTGACTCGCAGGAGTGAACTGGTGAACCCCCGCATCCTGTAGGTCTGCACCACTCACCAAGTTCGTCGAGAACGAGGGGAGGTACAGGCCAGACAGGGTGCCCGAGGGGGCAGCCGGACACGGGAGGACAGTGGAGAAGTGAGCGAGGACAGGACCCCCAGAGGGGTCAGCCAGGGAGACTACAACCGGCCGACCAAGCGGCGTGAGTGTGGTGCGGTCCCGAAAGAAGGAGCGAGAAGCCCCAGAGTCAAGTGTAAAGGTGAGGGAGGCCGAAGCCAACGCGGTACCTGAGAGCGCAGCCTCACCCGCACCTGAGGAAGCAGACTCACTAGCACCTAGAGCAGCAGCCGCACCTGTACCTGGAGCAGGAGACTCACTAGCACCCAGAGCAGCAGCCTCACCAGTAGCTAGAGCAGCAGGTCCTATACCTGGGTCAGGCGGGACGCACTGGTGACCGGCACGGTCAGCACTAGTAGGCAATGCATACATGGCAGTGAGAATAGCATCATAGTCAAGAGCATATATATCTACCCTCTGCCTAAGCAACTCCACCCAGTCGGGAAGCTCAGCCTCGTCGCCAAACACGGTACGCCAGGCGTCGCTCAGACGGGCGAAGCAGCGGGACGGTGTATGACTACGTGTCCCACAAGGCTGACCAGTCCGAGTACCAGTGCGAATCACGTAAGAGCAGCGAACAGCACTGAGAGACCCTCCACTCTGAGCGTACCACTCACGAAGCTGGCGAGGCGTGAGAGACACGCGAGAGGGTCGCGGGAGCTGCATCTGGCCGCCACCACGAGTAGAAGCAGCAGGAGTGGTAGTAGGAGTAGCGTCGCCACCCCTACAGCCCCAACCAGCGTACCACTCACGCAGCTGCTGGGGCGTGAGGGACTCACGCCGGCGTCGCTGGGGCTGCATTTGGCTCCGCAAGTAGAAGCAGGAGCAGGACTAGCAGCAGGGAGGCAGGCAGCCAGGCAAGCCAAAAGGCAGGCAGGCAGGCAAGCAGGCGACGCGCAGCGTGCTAGCAGGGCAAGAGCTCACCAGTGGTGGGAAGAGTAGGCTCGGCGACTCAGCGGCTCGGCGGCTCGGCGGCTCGGGCGACTCGGGCGGCTCGGCGGCAAGGCGGCTCGGCAGCAACTGCAGCTCAGCAGCTCGGTGACTCGGCGGCTCGGCGGCAGGGCGGCTCGGCAGCAACTGCAGCTCAGCAGCTCAGCGACCCGGCGGCTCGGCGGCAGGGCGGCTCGGCTGCTGGGCGGCTCGGGTGCAGGGCGGCTCGGCGGTGGGGCGGCTCGGCTGCTGCAGGTGAGCGGCTCGGCTGCTGCAGTGGGAGATGAAGGAGGAGGAGAAGCAGGGGAGGCCACACACCTGCCACCCCTCTGCGACGGGCGACGGGAAAAAGGGGGGGTGGGTGGTGGGGGGCCGGTAGGTGCAGCGGCGGGGCCAGCAGGTGCAGTTGCGGGGCCGGTAGAAGGGGACGGCAGGAGCCGTCAGGAGGGGACGGCGGGGCCGTCAGGAAGGGACGGCGGGGCCGTCACGAAGGGACGGCGGGGCCGTCAGGAGGTGACCGGGCCGCGACGGGGGCAGGCGGCGGGGCCGCGTAAGGGCCTGGGCGGGGCCGCGACAGAGCCGTCGGCGGGGCCGCGTGAAAGCCGGGGCGGGGCCGCGTAGAAGCTGGGGCGGGGCCGCGCGAGAGCAGGCGGCGGGGCCGCGAAGGAGCCGGGGCGGGGCCGCGTGAGAGCAGGCGGCGGGGCCGCGTAAGGGCCTGGGCGGGGCCGCGACAAAGCCGTCGGCGGGGCCGCGTGAAAGCCGGGGCGGGGCCGCGTAGAAGCCGGGGCGGGGCCGCGCGAGAGCAGGCGGCGGGGCCGCGAAGGAGCCGGGGCGGGGCCGCGTGAGAGCAGGCGGCGGGGCCGCGTAAAGGCCAGGGCGGGGCCGCGAGAGAGCCTGCTGCGGGGCCGCGTGAGAGCCGGCGACGGGGCCGCGTAAGGGCCGGCGGCGGGGCCCCGTCAGAGAGGGCGGCAGGGCCGCGTCAGTGAAGGCGGCGGGGCCGCAGGGGAAATGGCGACCCGAGGGGTCGCTAAAAAAAAAGATCGCGCCTCGGGGGGCGCTTCGGTGGGCCCAAAAAAACGGTCCGTAGAAGGACCCGCTCTATACCATGTGAGAATAAGCGAACAGGAAGTGAATGAAGTAGCAGTGAAATGAGTACAAGTAGGAAACCCTAGAATTGTGTACCCCCTATAGGCTAACCCACTGTAGCCTACACAAGCATAACATATATAATGTTTGACAGAACGGAAGCGCTCAGATCTCGCATAGTACACGGAATCTAGTGGTCTCACTCAAATATAAGGTAGGAAATAAAATCATCTAGTGAACGTAAGGGTTTGAAAGGTAACTAACGCACATGTGTAGAGAAAATGGTGCATCCGCGAGTCTGGCCGGCATTTCGCACTTATAGTGCAGGTGGGGCCAGGGAGAACGGAAACGCCCATTTATCAAAGGTGAAAAATATGAAATCTAGTGAGCTAATAAGGTTTGGAAGGAATCTAATGCATATGTATATGGAAAGTGGTGCATTGGCCAGGTCGGTCAGTATGGGAACTTAGAGTGCAAATGCCTGGAAGAACGGAACCGCTGAGATCTCGCATAATACACGGAATCTAGTGGTCTCACTCAAATAGAAGGTAGGAAATAAATTCATCTAGTGAACGTAAGGGTTTGAAAGGTAACTAACGCACATGTGTAGAGAAAATGGTGCATCGGCCAGTCTGGCCGGCATTTCGCACTCATAGTGCAGGTGGGGCCAGGGAGAACGGAAACGCTCGTTTCTCAAAAAGTAGAGGGAATCTAACGGTCTCACTCGATCAGAAGGTGGGAAATATATACATCTAGTTAGCTAAAAAGGTTTGAAATGTATTCAACGCACATGTATAGAGAAAATGGTGTATTGGCCAGGTCGGTCGGTATCAGAACTTAAAATGCAAATGCCAGGGAGAACGGAAGCGCTCAGATCTCGCATAGTACACGGAATCAAGTGGTCTCACTCAAATAGAAAGTAGGAAATATATTCATCTAGTGAACCTAGGGGTTTGAAAGGTAACTAACGCACATGTTTAGAGAAAATTGTGCATCGGCCAGTCTGGCCGGCATTTCGCACTTATAGTGCAACTAGGGCCAAGGAGAACGGAAACGCTCATTTCTTAAAAAGTAGAGGGAATCTAGCAGTCTCACTAGATCAGAAGGTGGGAAATATATAAATCTAGTGAGCTAATAAGGTTCGAAAGGAATCTAATGCATATGTATATGGAAAATGGTGCATTGGCCAGGTCGGTCAGTATGGGAACTTAGAGTGCAAATGTCAGGGAGAACGGAAGCGCTCAGATCTCGCATAGTACACGGAATCTAGTGGTCTCACTCAAATAAAAGGTAGGAAATAAATTCATCTAGTGAACTTAAGGGTTTGAAAGGTAACTAACGCACATGTGTAGAGAAAATGGTGCATCGGCCAGTCTGGCCGGCATTTCGCACTTATAGTGCAAGTAGGGCCAAGGAGAACGGAAACCCTCATTTCTCAAAAAGTAGAGGGAATCTAGCGGTCTTATTCGATCAGAAGGTGGGAAATATATAAATCTAGTGAGCTAATAAGGTTCAAAAGGAATCTAATGCATATGTATATGGAAAATGGTGCATTGGCCAGGTCGGTCAGTATGGGAACTTAGAGTGCAAATGCCAGGGAGAACGGAAGCGCTCAGATCTCGCATAGTACACGGAATCTAGTGGTCTCACTCAAATAGAAGGTAGGAAATAAATTCATCTAGTGAACGTAAGGGTTTGAAAGGTAACTAACGCACATGTGTAGAGAAAATGGTGCATCGGCCAGTCTGGCCGGCATTTCGCACTTATGGTGCAAGCAGGGCCAAGGAGAACGGAAACGCTCATTTCTCAAAAAGTAAAGGGAATCTAGCAGTCTCACTCGATCAAAAGGTGGGAAATATATAAATCTAGTGAGCTAATAAGGTTCGAAAGGAATCTAATGCATATGTATATGGAAAATGGTGCATTGGCCAGGTCGGTCAGTATGGGAACTTAGAGTGCAAATGCCAGGGAGAACGGAAGCGCTTAGATCTCGCATAGTACACCGAATCTAGAGGTCTCACTCAAATAGAAGGTAGGAAATAAATTCATCTAGTGAACGTAAGGGTTTGAAAGGTAACTAACGCACATGTGTAGAGAAAATGGTGCATCGGCCAGTCTGGCCGGCATTTCGCACTTATAGTGCAAGCAGGGCCAAGGAGAACGGAAACGCTCATTTCTCAAAAAGTAAAGGGAATCTAGCAGTCTCACTCGATCAAAAGGTGGGAAATATATAAATCTAGTGAGCTAATAAGGTTCGAAAGGAATCTAATGCATATGTATATGGAAAATGGTGCATTGGCCAGGTCGGTCAGTATGGGAACTTAGAGTGCAAATGCCAGGGAGAACGGAAGCGCTTAGATCTCGCATAGTACACGGAATCTAGAGGTCTCACTCAAATAGAAGGTAGGAAATAAATTCATCTAGTGAACGTAAGGGTTTGAAAGGTAACTAACGCACATGTGTAGAGAAAATGGTGCATCGGCCAGTCTGGCCGGCATTTCGCACTTATAGTGCAAGTAGGGCCGAGGATAACGGAAACGCTCATTTCTCAAAAAGTAAAGGGAATCTAGCAGTCTCACTCGATCAAAAGGTGGGAAATATATAAATCTAGTGAGCTAATAAGGTTCGAAAGGAATCTAATGCATATGTATATGGAAAATGGTGCATTGGCCAGGTCTGTCAGTATGGGAACTTAGAGTGCAAATGCCAGGGAGAACGGAAGCGCTTAGATCTCGCATAGTACACGGAATCTAGAGGTCTCACTCAAATAGAAGGTAGGAAATAAATTCATCTAGTGAACGTAAGGGTTTGAAAGGTAACTAACGCACATGTGTAGAGAAAATGGTGCATCGGCCAGTCTGGCCGGCATTTTGCACTTATGGTGCAAGTAGGGCCAAGGAGAACGGAAACACTCATTTCTCAAAAAGTAAAGGGAATCTAGCGGTCTCACTCGATCAGAAGGTGGGAAATATATAAATCTAGTGAGCTAATAAGTTTAGAAAGGAATCTAATGCATATGTATATGGAAAATTGTGCATTGGCCAGGTCGGTCAGTATGGGAACTTAGAGTGCAAATGCCAGGGAGAACGGAAGCGCTCAAATCTTGCATAGTACACGGAATCTAGTGGTCTCACTCAGATATAAAGTAGTAAATAAATTCATCTAGAGAACGTAAGGATTTGAAAGGTAACTAACGCACATGTGTAGAGAAAATGGTGCATCGGCCAGTCTGGCCGGCATTTCGCACTTATAGTGCAAGTAGGGCCAAGGAGAACGGAAACGCTCATTTCTCAAAAAGTAAAGGGAATCTAGCGGTCTCACTCGATCAGAAGGTGGGAAATATGTAAATCTAGTGA